ACATTAAACAGGTTTTCTGGCTGAATTAATTGTGCATGAATTATTTATTGGTTGATTGATTGATTAATTGATTTTCTTCCGGGCGGTCAAGGATAACCTACAAAAGTGCAAGCACTTATTTCCAGTAGGGTCCTTACCTCACCAGAGTCTAGAGACAGCTATTAGATACAAGTGAGTCCGGGAACCAGTCCCTAGTATGACTGCCTTCTTGTATTAAGGACATCTTTTGTTATTGACTATAATTTCTTTACAAAAGGGAAATTGTTTACGTAGACAGAGATAATCCCAACACTTAAAAGACAAGTGCACTTATCATGTGTAATAAAAACCACAAGAAACAACAACAACGCTAAGGGAAAAGAAAACGATAAATAAAAACAACATCAAAACCCACACAAAGCAATCCCAAACAATATCTTTTTTTGGTTTTACGTGTCTGTTTTAAACATTTGCTGCTTAACTTTTTTTTACAAAATATAGAAGAAAAAAAAAGAATCCCCAAAGAACTTTTACAATGGATAAATTGAGAAATTTACAGATTTACAGGCTCTTGTTCATTAAGCTTGGTTATGGACGGTATTGGACTGCAACCTATCGCCTACGCCCACACCCCTCCTGCATCGGCTTAAGCAGAATTAAACAGTTGCATTAAATGGTCTGATTTTTTGAATTGATAAACGTCCACAGATGTAGTCATTGTGCCCATAAGCTTCTCTTTTTATGGAACTTTAAATGTGAGACGATAGTTACATTCTATAAAAAGCGTCGAGTGGACCTTAGTAAAAAAAACATGTGCCCTAGAGGTGAAAACAATCACGAAACTGAATAATATGGAATTTGAAATGGGGTCATATGTTATGAAACCTACATATTTAAGAAGGCAAATTCAAAAACAAACAACATATCATAAAACTTCTTCTTAAACTTTGGACTCGTTTTATCGTGAATGAATAAAATCAATAAAAAAGGTACTATTTTATCACGAATACACTACGTTTTTCATTAAGTACTACTATGTCATGCACTACTTACAAACGCTAGATACAAAGAAGAACGCGCAGAGCATTTAACCTAAAATAACCTCTCATTAACAGATATCAATGTACAAAATATCAATGTAGCTGTTCGTAAGGTATAATATTTATTTCCTGCTATTTCTCATGTTATATTCGTGATGAACATATGAGATTTTGTTAAGCCAAAATTAGTTCAAACACGTTTTACATTGTGCATAACGATTTCAACGAGAAGACTTTCAAACAAATTCACATAAATTGAATATTTGAATAGATTGAGTATTTTGTGGTTCACTGCCCCTGGTCAGAAACTTCGCTTTATGTTTTATAGTACAAAAGTATATTATTTTTTCAAAACATTATGATATAATCATAATAAATATCTTATTGATTCCAGACACTATAATATTGAGTTTTAATGCATCACGAGAATAAAAGGTTTACTGTTTTCCCATTTCATAGTCACAGTTGTTCCTTAAATTTTCTGAGTGAGACATTTCGTTTTTTTATAATGTTATTGATGATGCAAAAATTGTTACATTAACTGTGATAACTCTGAAGACTATAGTATTTGAACTACCATTTCTTCATTGCTCAATTTAGGATTTTATATATTTATTTACTGATTGAATATATAATGTATCATCGTTTACATTTACTATTTCTCAGTTTGTAACATCAAGATAAATCCCGCAATAAAATGCGCTTTTCTTAATGACATACGTAAGGAAACAAAAAGATCAACCCGATCCAATCAATAGTTAAATTACATTAATCTCTGAATTAACACTTTATTACATCGTACATGGAACATTTTTATAATAGAATTTTATTATGCATTTTATGTGTTTAAGAATGACACTACGTACGTTTTGTTTGGTTATCAGTGTATTTTGTTCTATTTTTGTCGGGTTAATATTATATGTTACAAAAGACGAGTCTAGTCATTTAAATCATTATGCATGCAAGTATATTTTATATCTAAAATTTCTTTTACAGGATTATCTTAATAAAACGTTTTTGAGCAGTAAAGTAGCACGTGTGTAATCATATGATACACAATGTAAAGAGTGCTTTTGTACGTTTTGATGTTAAACATGTCAACTTATTATGTAAACTTACCTTGATTATTTCTCTTTCGCACAGCAATTTAAAGTAAGATATTAAACGTAGTTTGAAATGTCTAAAGTCAAATGTACCTGGTTTAACACAGATACAACTCTATGAAAGTGGACTGTTTATTTTACATACAATTATTGATACGAGTAGTACCAATGATAAAAAGATATATGGCATTCATGTAGAACAAATTTGTATAATCCTAAAATAATTATTAAATTCAGGATTTTACCTTGTATTTAGAATTAAATAACTGCAATTGTAGCATCTTAATTTAGTTTATTCATATTTTAATGGTGTTTTTCCTTCCTATACAAAAACATAAACAATCTCATATGCTAACATAGGACAAAACATAAACGAATAAACTGACAGTATTTACATGGATATTGTAGTTGTTTATAACAAGATTAATCTATTTTCAGCTCCTGTGACCTTGTTTTTGACCAAAGACGACCTATATTCTCTCTTTGCCTAGAAATAATCCAAACAACCCTTATGACAAATTTCTAGAATATTTGGATCAAAACAGCAGCTACTAGAGTGTTAACAAGATTTTTCAACTTTTAGCTCCCGTGACCTAGTTTTTGACCGGAGAAGACCCATATTCGAACTTGACATAGAAATCCTCGAAAACAACCTTTCTCGTCAATTTCCAAGATATTTAAATCAAAACTGACTGTTAACAAGATTTTTTTTTAATTTTAAGCTCCGGTGACCTTCTTTTTAACCCGAGATGATACACATTCGAACTTGACCTGTATTTCATTGAGACAAACATTCTGAATCGAATATACACGTGGGCGTAAAAATCATGGTTTTAATCACCTATTTGTCGTGGTGCTTGTAGGTGCCCTGTATTACGTAGCTGTATTGGAATACCTGTGGTCGAATTAATCATAGATAAAAGCTAAACATCGTAAAGTCCTGGTTGAAGTCATTTCCGTAGTTGTTTATGACGTCATTCGAGTTGTGGTCGTGGACGTAACTGTACTTGTCTGCGAAGACTTAAAGGACGAATTTGACGACGGGACCGTCGTCATCCTAGATAAGGCCTTGAAGTCGAGGTTTAGGATGTTGTTACGGATTTTTAAAGTCTTGAACGTCTGTGAAGACGTTAAAGTTTATTCTTGGTCGAATTTGTCGTAATCTATAGGATTGAAATAGGATGAATCGCAGTCGAAGTAATGGTTATATTGGTCCACGACGAACTCGTTAATATCGTAGACGTATTCGTTGTCGTAGAAGTTGTAGTAGTTACAGCCGTCGTCGTAGTCGTAACTCTAATCGTTGTCATTTAAGATGTAGAAGTCGTAGTCGTAGTAAATATTCCTGTGACCGAAGGCGAACTTTAGTCGTAAAAGTCATAAGTCCTTGTCGTTTTGATAGGAGTGGTTATAATCATGGTCATTTCCATACCCGTGGTCATAGTCGTGGTCTTAACCTTATCGAAAAGGTAATGACGATTACCATTGTGGTCACTTTCCAAACATGAGCAAAACGATAAGCTGTACTTGGTGTAAACTTAAAGATCTCCACAATTATTACTATCTCATTTTCGCCGTCGTTTACGTGTTGCGTAGATTTTCTATGCAGTGGAATACATATCCAAGATGACGGTTGGGAATATTATTATCGGGTATCTTATTCTTTCCAAATTTTGTTCCTTATGTAGAAAACATATCGATGTTATTATTAATGAAGTCATATTGGATTTCCTTTATAATACATGTTTCTATTAATTTTCTTATTCAGGGATACAGTATGTTATTATATATGTCAATGAAAGTATATTTAAAATAAATAGGACTTAAAGAATTAAAATGAAGTAAACTTTGTGAAAATGAATACGTTTTGGCGACGGCCTGCTTTCATAAAAAACAACATGTTTTACAGAAGTCGCATTCCAGAAAGGAAGACCTGGAGTACATTTCAAATGTAGTATTTTCATTTTACCAAATAGCCAAAATAAAGATGATGAAAATTAATAAATTATATAAAAAACAACAACAAAGAAAAAGAAAAAAAAAACATCAAGAAAGAAAAAAAAAACAAATAAACACGATTCGCATGTGTTCCTATTTTTTTTTCAATGGTGCTTTAAAGCTATAGTTTAGGTATCAGTGAATTTCAAATTCTCGCCAAAAGACTGTTTCAAGTCAAATTAGTGTCTTAAGCATGCATTAGGTAGAAACGAAGCGCAAGTTTACTTATTGCGTGATGGCGATATTCCCCAATTTGAAATGCAGTTATTTATTGCTTTTCAACATATTTCGAAAGTAAGTGATCTGTAATAAATATATTTAAAATGCAGCTGCATTATTATTAATACACAATTGTAAACACATTTATTCAATTATTTATTTATTTATTCACTTTGATTTTTTGGATACGACAGTATTTTTGTGGCATAATAAATTTGATCTTTGCTTGAAAATGTTTCCTCGAAACATGTATAATGAGTCGATTTGGCTATATTTCATATATTTAACATGATTTCTTGTCTTAAAATTATTAGCTTGTCAATCTACACATAAAACAAATAGTACTTGTATAGGCAATTAACCTCTGAAACATTTATTTGCATTATGCATATGTTGTTTGCCCTGTCTTTCTTGTTTGTTTGTTTTCCTGCTGGACTCATCGCCGTTGTTGCTGTGTTGCTGTTAGATGTTTGCCCTTTGCCCACAGTTTGACTAAATTCCGTAATACCGAGTTGTGTTATCAATCCTCATTCTCATAATAGATAAAGCTATTTATATATTGACCTTACAAACATAGTTAACGCGTAAACCTGTATTTGCCTTGCTATTATTATCAATGGTTTTTGTTTAAAAGTTTACTTACGAATAGTTTGCACTTTGCATTCACATAGTTTAAAACATTCATATGTAAACATGCGAATATTACGTCAGTTGGATAATTTTGTTTCTTTACTTCCTTGATCGATGAATAAGGTTTTTTGTATACGTAGGATATACGTTATGACATTTTAAAACTTAAACACATTTTACTGTTGTAATATAGATTCTACAGTAATAAATATGGATACTATACGACTCAAATTAGTTCTTGTTCTTCTTTTGGGACTTATAACAACAATAAGCGCTGGTAAGTTTATTGTCTTATTTATTATTGGACAGGAATACTTATAGTGAAAAATAATTAGATGATGAAAGATAAAGTAAATTAAAATATGTATTATTATACGCCGTGTGCACGTCTATTCAGCAATGGGGAAATTTTAGTCTTGCTTTTGTTTATTTTCTTTTTCTTTTAACAACATCACACTGTTTTCAAATTTTCTAATAAAATAGTTTTTCTGATGGACAACATGTCACCGAGATTTATTTAATTAAAATGAACGTTAAAGTGAAGTGATAGTGCCATGTTTAAATATCATACTCTTTTAAATGTATGTGAGAAGTTAGCAGTTAACAGTGAGCTAAGCAAAAAGGCATTACGATTTATATAGGGAAATCAATGATCTGCTGTTATGCACAGCTGGGTAAGCAATCTAGCAGAACATTCAAAAATAAAGTGTAGAAATGCTTTGCCGGTATGCTCAGCTGGGTAATCAATCTAGCAGGCCATTCCAAAATATAGCGTAAAAATGCTCTGCTGGTATGCTCAGCTGGCTAAGCAATCTAGCGGGGCATTCCAAAATATAGTGCAAAAAATGCTCTGCTGGTATGCTCAGCTGGCTAAGCAATCAAGCGGGACATTCCAAAATATAGTGTACAAAATGATCTGCTGGTATGCTCAGCTGGCTAAGCAATCTAGCAGGGATTACTAAATATAGTGTTAAAATGCTCTGCTGTTATACCTAGCTGGCTAGGCAATCTAGCGAGGCATTCCAAAATAAAGTGTTTTTAAAGCTCTGCTGTTATGCTCAGCTGTCTATGCAATCTAGCAGGGTATTCCAAAATATAGTGTAAAATACTCTGCTGGTATGCTCAGCTGCCTAAGCAATCTAGCGGGGCATTCCAAAATAAAGTGTAAAAAGCTCTGCTGTTATGCTCAGCTGGCTAAGCAATCTAGCAGGGTATTCCAAAATATAGTGTAAAAATACTCTGCTGTTATACTCAGCTGGCTAAGCAATCTAGCGGGGCATTACTAAATATAGTGCGAAAAATGCTCTGCTGGTTTGCTCAGCTGGCTAAGCAATCTAGCAGGGCATTCCTAAATATAGTGTTAAAATGCTCAGCTGGCTAGGCAATCCAGCAAAGCATTCTGAAAATTAGTTTAAAATGTTCGGCCGGAATGCTGAGCTGTTAATGCAAACTAACAGGGCATTCTTAAATAAAGTATAAATTTCGTTGGTCTGCAACTGATTATTTTGCACTTGTAGACTTTCTGAAATATTCAGTGCCAAAGCAGATAATGATATTTTTTAAAACTTCTATGGAATCCTCAAGTGTCTCCAATTGATTCTGGGACGATATCAGGCTTTCAGGAAGTTTTGGTGTTAATGCAGATACTGACATTTGTGAATTTTGTAGGACCATCCAGAGTCCATTTGGTTGGTTTGCGAATGTTTCTGGAACACTCGCAGACTTTCAGAAATTGTCGGTGCCAATGGAGATAATGACATTTTTCCTTTAAAAGGACCCTCCTGAGTCTATTTTGTTGGTCTACGACTGATTCTGAGTCACTCGCAGACTTTCAGAAATTTTCGGTGCCAATGGAGATAATGACATTTTTACTTCAAAAGGACCCACCTGAGTCTATTTCGTTGGTCTGCGACTGATTCTGAGTCACTCGCAGACTTTCAGGCATTTCGGTGTCAATGCAGAAAATGATATTTCTGACTTATCGGGACCTTCCTGAAGCCATATTTTTGGTCTGCAACTGATTCTGAGGCACTCACAGACTTTCAGGAATTTTTGATGTCAAGGCAGATATTGACATTTCTTACTTTTAGGGACCATCCAGGGTACATTGTTTTGGTCTGCGACTTATTCTTGGACAGTCACAGACTTTCAGGAATTTTTGGTGCCAACAGAGAAAATGACAATTTTAACATTTTTGACCATCCAGAGTCTATTTCGTTGGTCTGCGACTGATTTTTGGGCTCTTGCAGACTTTCAGGAATTTTTGGTGCTAATGCAGATAATGACATTTTAGAGTAAGAATGCTCTGCTTATGAATTAGGGGTCCTTAAAAGTAAAAAGTCATGATCTTCAATGGCACTTAACATCCTGAAAGTCTGCGAGTCTCAAAGAATCAGTCGCAGACCCAAGTAATGTACTCTGGCGGTTCCCTAGAAGTCAGAAATGTCATTATCTCCAATGGCATCAAAATTCCTGAAAGTCTGCAAGTGTCCCAAAATCAGTCGCAGACCAGTGAAATGAACGCTGGTGGGTCGCTTTAAGTCAAAAATGTCATTATCACCTTTGGCACCACAGATTCCTGAAAGTCTGCGAATGTCCCAGAATCAGTCGCAGATCATAAAAATGGACTCTGGCGGGTCCCTAGAAGTAAACATTGCCATGATCTCTATTGGCACCAAACTTTCCTGAAAGTCTACGAGTGTCCAACAATACGCTGCAGGCCAATGAATGGACCCTTAAAGGTCCATAGAAGACAAAAATATGATTATTTCCTTGGCACCAACCATTCCTGAAAGTCTGCGAGTGTCCGAGAATCAGTTGCAGACCAACAAAATTGACTCTTGAGGGTCCCTAGAAGTCTAAATTGTCAATATTAGCATTGGCACCGAAATTCCTGAAAGTCTGCGAGTGTCCATAAAAAAGTCGCAGGTTAATGAAATATTCTCTTAAAGGTCCTTAGAAGTCAAAAATATCATTATTTCTATTGGCACCAAAAATTCCTTAAAGTCTGCGAATGCCTCAGAAGTGCTTAGAAGTCGAAAATGTCAATAAAACGTTGACAACAATAAATCCTGCAACTCAGAATCAGTCTGCCAGCTGAGCATTCCAGAAGAGCTTATTAACACTATAATTCAGAATGCACCGCAAGATTGCTTATCCAACACAGCATTTTCACACTATTTTTCAGAATGTTCTGCTAGATTGCCTAGCCAGCTAGGTATAACAGCAGAGCATTTTTACACTATATTTAGTAATCCCTGCTAGATTGCTTAGCCAGCTGAGCATACCAGCAGATCATTTTGTACACTATATTTTGGAATGTCCCACATGATTGCTTAGCCAACTGAGCATACCAGCAGAGCATTTTTTGCACTATATTTTGGAATGCCCCGCTAGATTGCTTAGCCAGCTTAGCATTCCAGCATAGCATTTTTACACTATATTTAGTAATGCTCTTCTAGATTGCCTAGCCAGCTTAGAATTCCAATAGAGCATTTTTACACTATATGTAGTAATGCTCTGCTAGATTGCATAGCCAGCTTAGCATTCCAGCAGAGCATTTTTTCACTATATTAAGTAATGCCCTGCTAGATTGCCTAGCCAGCTTAGCATTCCAGCAGAGCAATTTACACTATATTTAGGAATGCCCTGCTAGATTGTCTAGCCAGCTTAGCATTCCAGCAGAGCATTTTTACACTATGTTTAGTAATGCCCAGCTAGATTGCCTAGCCAGCTGAGCGTTCCAGCAGAGCATTTTTACACTATATTTAGTAATGCCCTGCTAGATTGCCTAGCCAGCTTAGCATTCCAGAATAGCATTTGTACACTATATTTAGTAATGTCCTGCTAGATTGCCTAGCCAGCTTAGCATTCCAGCAGAGCATTTTTACACTATATTTAGTAATGCCCTGCTAGATTGCCTAGCCAGCTTAGCATTCCAGCAGAGCATTTTTACGCTATATTTAGTAATGCCCTGCTAGATTGCCTAGCCAGCTTAGCATTCCAGCAGAGCATTTTTACACTATATCTCGGAATGCCCCGCTAGATTGCTTAGCCAGCTTAGCATTCCAGCAGAGCATTTTTACACTATATTTAGTAATGCCCTGCTAGATTGCCAAGCCAGCTTAGCTAGCCAGCTGAGCATTTTAACACTATATTTAGTAATGCACTGCTAGATTGCCAAGCCAGCTGAGCGTGCCAGCAGAGCATTTTTTCACTAAAGCTAGGAATGCTCTGCTAGATTGCCAAGACAGCTGAGTATTGCAGCAGAGCATTTTTACACTATATTTAGGAATGCCCTGCTAGATGCCCAGCTGAGCATACCGGTAAAGCATTTCTACACTTTATTTTGGAATGCTCTGCTAGATTGCTTACCCAGCTGAGCATTCCAGCAGAGCATTGACTTCTCTATATAAATTGAAATGCCTTTTTGCTTAGCTCACTGTTCACTGCTAACTTCTCACATACCTTTTAAATCATCATCTAATTTTATAACAAATTACTCACGTTTCAGTGAGCCAGTGTAATGTAAGTTCAGAAGGGACCAAGGTGTATGACTAAAATACGCAACGGAGATTTGTGTTGGCGGTACGGGCGCAAAACGGAAATATTCTTTGCAAAACAGGCAAATCGTATGCTTACTAGGGATTATCCAAATATTCGTGGACATTCTTTGTTACGAAAAATATATTTGCGATATTACTTTGAAATTCTTACACTGCTTAGAAGAATAAATAACAAATAAACACAGAAAAATTCATGTTAGTAGCTTCCTATATTTCAACAATATTTAAGTTTACATTACACATGTCGGCGACAGCGGCACATACCAAAAAGTATTGACGTTAACGTCATAATAATGTACAACTTGTGCTTCAATGTTACGCAGTCAATGACGGTTACTGCTCCTCAAAGTATTGTCCATTACTATATTTCTTATACCACTTAAACACTAATGATCATGAAATTTTATTTTCACTGTTCGTATGCTGATTTTTATGAAATGTTTTTGTAGGTGCCATTTCCAAATTACAACAAAATTTTATGATCGTTTTATGATCGCGCGATTTTCTAATTACCGCGTGTCGTCATTTTCCCGTTGTAAACAATATCGGCGTCTGCCGTATCTAGCGATATAAACAAAAATTAACGGACAATGACGTCCATTGTTTCTTAACAATTGCTTAAATGACATTATAGAAGAATCATGCGATGTTTAGCGGGTTTTTAACGTTAATTTTTTAGTTTTTTTTGCAAGAATCAACGATGACTTACTGT